TCTTATTAATAGTGAAGATTTTTGTACGACTCTCAGTTACTAAAATACCTTGTTCAACTACGTGATGCTTTTGAAAACGACACAGATCCTCCATCTTTTGTTTTTGAAAGAACTTATTTATACGATCCTTTTATCATAACGTCTAAGATTCTTTCCGAAAAATAGAATAAGTTCAGCCTCCCCAAACCTTCACTATTCAAATTTAGGGGAGGCTTGAGCCTCCCGAAGCCTAATGGTTCCGCCGCCTATGTATTGGCATGATTCACTATTTTGTAGTCATGGTTGAATGCACTTCCTATCGATAGTTGGAAATTTTTTGTCAACACGAGCGCATATGACGCAGATTGGAATGTTAAGAGCATCAATTGTAAGACTAAGTAGAATAATTAGGAAGTGACACATTTTTCAAATGAATGTTAACATTAGCTAGAATTCACTATTATATAGGCATAGAGATAATTTCTGTTTAAAAAAGATAATGACCGTGGGTATTTTTGCATTAACTCAAGGACAGAAGGAGCTATAGACCTGTGCTTTTCACGAGTCGAAACAGAAAACATCGGGCGTCTTTTTCTCCAATATTATATAAAACGAAATTATTTTATAATCAACTATTTTTACAAAATATCTAAGAAATGTATGAAAATGATCAGTCGTTTAGATCATATTATTTCGACAACAAGTAGGATAATTTGCTTAAAAATTAAGAGAAATCTATATTTTTCGAGGGTCTAAGTAGATAATTTTATTGGGTTAACATTAGGGTTTCTAAAGATACTCATTTGAATTATCTCTTAAACTATGCATCGGATGTCCTTCTATCTAAATCACACATGAAAACCAAAATTTCATCCGAATGTCAAACTATTTTCTTGCATTTTTTTGAAATGTTCTGCAGAAATAATTGATATTAAAATGATTTCGTATTGTATAATATTATTCCAATAAATGTTCATGGTCATTATTTTGTCCGCAGGCAGTAGTAAGTGTGTCTTTTCAATTTTTTTTGCTTACAAGCCGTTTCTGTCATCAATTGTCTTTATTACCAGTTCTAATTCTTTAATTTAAACAGTGTTATCTGGTTAATCGGTCTGTTAAACACAAGACTTTACAATTTTGTCGTTTTTTCCTTACTTGAACACGAAATCGCTCTATTTGTAAACAAAATTTATATTGAAAAAAAATCAAGAAAGTTGTTTCGCAAGACAAGATTTACAAATAGGCAATTCCCATTCACTTTCAACACCACGCTATTGTGCAAATTTTCGTACAAATGATGGAAAGATATTTAAATTATCGTATCGTGCTTTGGTTGATCATATTGTATTGTTACGTTTAGTTACTGCACATCCCGAAATAACGGAGCCAGGAGAAACATTGAATTATTTCATTGAAGATTATTGTCGACGTATGGCTCGTCAAGAAATGAATACTAGACATCAACAACGGGCACTTCCATGGCAAATTGAGTGGATCTGGCATGTTCACCGTCTTCATCCGGTTGCGTATAATGACGATTGTACTAAGCAATTGTCGAGTCGTCAAGTGGTCGATAAAAAATACAGAAGGGTAAGAATGAAAGAGCATGAAAGACATCATTCAACTGTTTTTTCCGAGCCAATACGGAATCGTGCAACGTTTGTTCCTTCACTTGATTTGGTGAGTGCCGTAATTCGTCAACGTGATTTTCTTCAAAAATTCCAGAGACATCATTTATTTTCACAAAACTTGATCGATGTAACGAGAGATTGGTTTGAGCAAATGGTACAAAATTATATTTCATTTTTGAAATTAGCTATCCAAGGTGAAATTATAGTACCAACATTTGATATTGATTTAATGTGGCATACACATATGAGATTTCCAGCATTTTATCAAAGAACCTCAATAAAACTATGTGGCTTCGTTCTTGATCATAATGACTCGATCAATAATGCTACATTAGCAGATGCTTATCAAAAAACAGCTGATCGATGGCGGCAGACCTACAAAGTAAATTATGGTGAAAACATCCCCAAAGATAAGTTACGCTACTCGCAGTACGTAAGTTCGTGCGCAATCATAGTTGCACCATTAGGTGCTAGTGGAGATAGTTACGGCGGTGGTTGTGGCGGTGGTTGTGGCGGCGGTGCTGGAGGTGGTGGCTACGGCGGAGGTGGTTGTGGTGGTGATGGTGGTGGTGGTGATGGTGGTGGTGGTGATGGTGGTGGTTGCGGTGGTTGTGGTGGTTGTGGTGGCGATTAAATGGTCTTGACCAGAGTTTGAAAAAAAGAGACTGACTTTTTCTTTGTTGTATAAGTTCAACTTTTGAAGTAAAATAAATTAACTTCACAATAAAGGTTTCTGAATTTCAGCAGTACGCGATTAGAAATGCCAAATAGAAGAGACCAAAAATTGCTTCACTTTGAGAATTGTTGTTTTACTTTAAGTATTTATTATTGGAATCGACAATTCTTCGAACTGGCAATATAGTTTTGACAATTGTCGAAAGAATGAATGATCGATATCGAAATTTTACGATGACACATTTAGATTTCTGACAAGTTTATTGTTTATTTCTTGATCATCTTGATCAACCAGAGGTTTGAAAAGAAAGCTAATAATAGTAATTTTGGAAGCTTCAAAAGTACTGAAAGCTTCGGAAATTACAGAATTTGCAGAATTTTCATCAAATAATATAGCAGACGATTTAGCAACAGTACAGTATACTTTAATTTGTCTCGTTAAAATAAAGATATTCCAATGTCAATATATTGGGTATCGAAAAGGATATGTCTTAATACTCTGTTGATATCTTCATTTCGCTACGCGAAGAACTATGTATTGCGAAGGGGAAAATATCAAATGACTTGAAGTAAATAGTATTCATCTCAATACTCAGAAAAGTAGGTGTCTTGAAGAGTAAAAGCATGTGAGGTGTAGTTCAATATTTCTTTTTGACTAGTATATGAGGTTTCCAGTAAAATAGAATATGGTGTGTTTTCTTTATTGTCTAATCTGAGAAATAAATAAGTGAAAAATAAAGAGCGTTTTTCGATCACGATGATCACTTGTATCTCTCTGGAGTATACTCGACATCAGAACAAAGAGATTTCAGGATAGTAAGAAGAAGAGTCTTAGTCCGTACATATAGAACAAGAACCTGTCGCCAACATTTCAAAAAGTACGAATTTCTTGTTGTGTTCTTGCGTACGTACATGTAACAAGTTCAGAAAAATATATCGTTTGATCATATATCGAAATGTTTGTATAAGAATCTTCTGTGTTGAATACCTCAAATACACGTTCCTATTATTTTCGCTGGCATGCGTCACTCGTCATGAAAAAAGCTGATTAAAAGTTTTTTGTATGATTCAAGTGTTGATTTATAATCGCTTTTATTCTCGAAAGTAATACATATACATTTGTTGCTGTTTCCAAAGTCATTAAAACCTAGGGACCATCTTTGCATGCGAATTCCAAGTGCATTATTATTTCACTCAATACTGATTTCAAAAATGCTATATCTATTAGTAACTTCGTCATTTCCATCAAAAAGCTGTATCCTATCTGAATGATGATTCAAGAATTAATCGAGAAGACAGCAATAGTATTTATCGGCTTCAGTAAACTTAACCATTCCAAAGAAAATCATCTGGTCTGTTTTATTTGCATGAATTTCATTTTGAATTCTAAATTTCATTGATGCCTAATGTCATCCAAACTCTGTGTACTACCAAATTTTATTCAGGATTCTATCTCGAATCATAGTAATTCCCATTTGCAGGATTTCTTCAAGCTCCTGATCAGATGTTTTTTGGAATTGAGGATGCAGGATCTTACCAGGATTCACTCTCGATCTTTCTCAAGATCTTAATAGGAATAGCAGAAAGATTTTGGATGGATTTCATTAGATTTTATAAAGGTATTTTCAAGGTTCTGAATAGACATATTATCCAGTTCCTGTCAGGTTCCTTTTAAGATTTGTCTTTTCAAATTCTTTTTAAATTTATATTCATCCAAATACAGTTGAGAATTTTCACCTCACTTGCAATAATCGATCGTTCGATGACTTTTATTAAATCCTCCTTTATTTCTTACTTAGATGACGTTATCAGCGCGTCTTCTTTCTCAAAAATAATGTGTTGCATTAAATTAATGCACCTCCGAAAGCTCATGTTTATTACTGGAAGAACTTTAGCTGAAAGAAAATGAACATTCTACATGAAAAATTACACATTGTAATACCAGTTTAGAAGGATTAATAAAATGTAAATCTGATCTTATAACAACATTGGTAATAAAAGATGCAGGATTTGTATTATTCAGTTTTTATAAACATTTACAAACAATTAAATATTATAATGATGAAAACTATTGGAAGAAAAGATAAAGCAAAATTAAAAAATGATGATAGTAGGCAATGAGCTGTAGTATTAACAACACCACAAAGGACGCCATCAAATACATTTATTGTTTTACTGAACACACTTTTGGTTTCACCGTCAGCAACATCAACAAATAGTAAGTGAACCACTACAACAGTAGCAACAAAAATGACTCCCATAGAAACCCAAAGAAAAAATACAGCACCATCAAGTCGATCAAAGCAGCAAAAAATGCAGGTTTTTCAAAGCGATTATATATAGGAAAGGACCGATTATTTTAAGTTACTTTTCAATCTCGAATGATTTTCATAGAAATTTGACATACTTGATCAGATTGTTTTTTTGCTAAGTTGTAGCTTTTGATTTCAGTTACAACTTTACTCTTAACATCTCTTCTTGATTTTGAGAGTATAGTTATAGCTCAAATCAAAAGCTACAACTTAGCAAAAAAAAACGTCAATCTGATGAAGTTTGTCAGATTTCTATGAAAATCTCTCAAAACTGAAAACTAACTTAAAATAAATGGCCTATCCCTAATTACATACCAATTTTTCTAGTTTTTTTATAATCACCAAACCTCTACCAGTGATTAATTTTTTTTAAATTGCATATTCTGTATCATGTGCACTATTATCATTCATATTCAGCCAGTGATCCATATATCTTGTTATGTTTGTTTTTCTTCTTTTTTTGTATCATTTGGATTTTATGTGAGATGTGTGTCCGTTTCTATTTATCTATGGTAACAAGTAAACGTGAAGTGAAGGAAGATTACTTTGTTCACTCAAGCAAAAGATGTTTGAATCTTAAACAAAAACGACTGGCAAGTAGGTTCTGCTATTCCTTCAGGCACTATTTCTTGGATGAGTGCGTCGAAAAAAAACAATAAATATTGAAAGAGACACGTTTATAATTGAGTCATACTGGAAACTTAGAGGGAAACCAGAATTTTGGACCGGGCAGAAAATTCCGTTGGCCGAAATTCATGAAACCTCTTCTATCGGTATGCCTTACTACACAGTTCATAATAGGGTATCTGCCAGAATACCCAATAAGTGCTTAAAAGTTCTTATTACATACTGGTTGCAAGATATTTTTTTGGGCGCCTTTTATTCAGTACATTTACTAGTGGTAGCACATATCACCTCTTCTGATCAGTAGACAGTTTAGTAGTCTCTCAAAAACGATATACGTATGATAATTGTAAAGATGACAGACCTTTTTTGTCAGGACAATAATTTCGACTGCTGAATCTGTGAATTTCCCGTCAGATAACTGACACTTCTGGATGAAAAAGAAAAGTCTAAAAAATAGTAGAACATTGAAAGTAGGAACACGATAATTGGGGTCAGCGATTGATTTTAATCAAAATGAAAAAAAAATCGGTCATAGAATCAAATCATTCTATTCTTACTTTTGATTTCCTACAATTTTCTAGCACTTTTCAATTGCAACTGACTGTATAATGTTGCGCGTCTGGTAGGATATGAACAGGATCATCGATTTCGAACTTTTAGATACCAATCAAACGATTACCGTCGATGTATACTCTCGACAGCTGCAGCGATTGCATGAAGTTTTACTCGAAGAGCAACCGAGCTTCGCGAATAAAAAATGCGTTATCCTCCTTCATGACAACGGTCGACCTCATGTAGCAAAGTTAACTTAGTAAACAACCGAACAATTGGGATGGAAAGTTATTGCACACCGGCCGTGGTCACCAGGCTTAGCGCTATCCTATTATCATTTATTCCGATCCCTCCATAACTATCGATGCGACAAACACTTTGAAGCCTTCTATGAGCTCAAATCTGACCTCACTGCCTTTTTCGAATCACAGCAGAATAGTTTTTACAAGCGTCGAACCGATTTATTGTCCGCAGAATGGGCAAAAGTTGTAGAACACAACGGTGGTTATATTGTTGACTGACGTTGCACATCATTGTAGAAAAATAAATTTTATTGATGAATCGAAAAACATGCAAAACTTATGTTCCAAGTCAATACAACACTTGTTTTTCCGTCGTTATTAAGATGATCTACTATAAGTGA